ATCTATCTATCTATCTATCTATCTATCTATCTATCTATCTATCTATCTATCTATCTCTATATCCTCTATCTTCTGTCTATCATCCATCTATCAATCATCTGCCTAATAATCATTTATCTATACATTCTCTCTCTAAATATATATGCTTATATATGCATACACACACATATATTTGAACCTTACATTTCTAAAATCAGGCATGGAGTGATGCACAATCGTTGAGAGTTCTGAATCTACACTGTGGATACAGACAGTCCAGGGCAGTGTCCCTCTGAGAATGGTGTTGGAGGGACATGTCCAGTGTGTGCATCAGTTGCTGGTGCAGGCCCCAGTGCCCATGAGTTAGGAAGGGATATGGAAGCATGCAAAATAGCCAGTCAGACCAGAATTCTGTGTCTGGTGGGTGGGGGACAGGCAGGTTTCAATTTCAGTTCTGCCACTGATCAGTCCTGAGGTGTGGAGTGTTTTGGTTCCTTGTAGTGAAGCCAGCAGGTTCTTGCTTTACTGGGTAATGGTGATAGCTATATGAACAAGTGAGAGGTATATGAATAATCCATGCTCTGGAAAACAGCAAAACTGCTAAAATGTCCGGTTGCTTCTAGCATTCCAAACCCTGTTACTATGCCACCCTGGGCCAGGCATCTCTCTAATCAACAAGGGGCCACTGACTCTCAAAGATCTCCTGGCCTTGTCTCCTGAGCTAGGAGATAGCTACTGTCATCAGCTGGGTCTTCTTTAGGGAGCAGGTCCCCTTTCTAGGTCAAGGATGCTTCTGCAATTTATAAAGATAAGGCGAGTCTAGGTTGAGCTTGAATGTACTAACTGCCTGTCTTTGCCTTTCAGGAGGTTTGGAGGCAATGATAACTACATACAAACAAAGAAAAAAGTAAGTTTTGAAAAATGAGTGACCGCTGTTATTGATTCTGGTGTCTCTTGGTCTTCTGAAGGCCCTGGGTGGCAAATAGCTTTAAGGTTACTGGAGGAGCCAGACCTGCCCATGAGAGAGGGAGGAGGAGGAAGAGGATAGAGTCTTCTTTGGAGCTCAGAGCATAGAACAGAGAGGCACATAGAGATGTCTGTGGCACAGCATGGCAGTCTGCACTAAGACCCCAGGCACTCAGCTCAGCATGCTGTGGATCATCCTTTAAGTTTGAAATCTGTCTTTTAAAATGTATTTATAGTACAAAGCTGAGGCTCTCGGGCATTCAGGGAGCATTTCACAAGTACAGTATAGAGCTTTGGACTCATATATTGTCAGCATTTAACGGGGCACACCACAGTGTGCCAAAATGCTGCTACCGACACCAGTTCTACTGAGGTCTTGCTTTCTGCATTTACGACCCAACTCTGGCTTATGCAATACTCTTTAAAACCAGCAGGGACGTTTTACTTGGTCCCTTGTGTGAAGTGAACATTTATATATTTGGCTGAATTTGCTTCCAAATATTTGAATTAAGATGTAAAAAAAAAAAAAAAAGAAAGATTATTTGCAGCATTAAGATAGTTAATGGTGTAGGGTTGGGGGACATTAAGAACCTTAGGTTTTATGATGACTGTGTACTTTGTTGTTATTGTCTACAGATTGTATAAAGATTGCAAAAAATAAATCCTGGATCCCCTTACATATCTGTGCTGTGGCACGGTTGGATTTTTGAGATTTGGGGTGCTCCTGAGCAGCAGTTTTTGGTAGCCTTCAAAGCATGTCCCAAAGGATGAGAAGTCCCTTTGTGCCATCCCTGGTGCAGAACCCAATCCCACCCTAGGCTGGAAAGCCAAATGATCTCCCCAGCAGTGGGTCTGGGAAGGAAGCACAGGATCTCCCCTTCACCTCCTTCAGAAGGGGATAAGAGCAATGAGACCTTTTAAGGCTTCCTTGGTTCCTGGGTTTCCTGCCCTTGTCCATCCCAAGGACCAAGGACTCAAGGTGGCCTGTACTCCTGATGCCTTCTGTTCTTAATCTGCCTACTAGGTGGAGTTCAAAAGAAAAGAGCCTCTCAAAAGTGACAGTGTGCTACCTAAAATCCAGGATTCTGTTTATTATGCCAAAGAGAAAAAGAAGACACCCCTGGGACCTTTAGTTCAAAGTGGTGCAGGTAATGGGGCAGTTCATCTTCTGCAGGCTATGAAAAGCGCTCTCTCTGTGTGCATGTGTGGAATGTATGGTGTGTAGTGTATATAGGTTTGATGTGTGTGGTATGTGTGTGTATATGGTGTGTATATGTAGGTGGTATGTGGTGTATGTATATGTATAGTGTGTATATGCATGGCATGTGAGGCTTATGTGTATCATAGAGTATATGTATGTGGTGCATGTGTGTGTAGTGTGTGTATGTATGGTGTGTGTTTCAGACAAAGCTTATTCTGCAAGGTCTTCTCTTAGAACTACTTGAATGTCAAGTGTTCAGCTTGTGGGGCAGTAGAAGGCTGCTGACAAGAGCAGTAACCTTCCTAAGCTGAGGGCAAAGGGAAGCCTTAAAAATGTCGCATTTAAAATAAATTCCACGTTCACATGCATGTGAGGACTATGATATCCTTGCTGTAAGACCAATATCAGATGAACCCGACTTTTGAGGGAACCTTGAACATAGAAGCCATCTAGCTTGTCCCGTGTACCTTTAGAAGAGAGATCCAGACATGACCATAAAATGAAATAATGAAAATAGCTCTGTCATACCTCTTCTCATCCTCACTGCTGTACTGTCCTCTCTGGCCTGCCCTGCTGCGTGCTTCAGTCTGATGATGCTCTTCCTGAGGTGTGTCTCGCTTTCCAGTCTGACAGACCTGGGGAAGGACTTGGTGCAATGTCTGGTTATGGTGCTGATAGGAAGCAGGTGGGAGAAGCCCCTCCCACACTGTTATACAGACAGGAAGCAGGTGTGAGAAGCCCCTCCCACAGTTATACAGACAGGAAGCAGGTGTGAGAAGCCCCTCCCACACTGTTAACAGACAGGAAGCAGGTGTGAGAAGCCCCTCCCACACCATTACACAGACAGGAAGCAGATGTGAGAAGCCCCTCCCACACTGTTATACAGATAGGAAGCAGGTGTGAGAAGCTCCTCCCACACTGTTAACAGACAGGAAGCAGGTGTGAGAAGCCCCTCCCACACCATTACACAGACAGGAAGCAGGTGTGAGAAGCCCCTCCCACACTGTTATACAGACAGGAAGCAGGTGTGAAAAGCCCCTCCCACAGTTATACAGACAGGAAGCAGGTGTGAGAAGTTCCTCCCACACTGCTTTGTGGCTTTGCAACATCTGGGCAGTATAGAAAGTCTCTTGACCTAGAGATGCTCAAGATTTCAAGGGTCCAGGACCTTTGTAGAGATAGAAACTAGACAGACACTGCAGAAATTGGGGTGCACTGAGCTGAGCCCTCTATATAGCAAGAACAAAGGGGGAGAGACGGACATGCAGATGTACAGGGACCCCGTCTGGGCGTTTCTCTGGTGGTGTAGAAAGCTTGGGAGCTGCTGAGTGGAAACTTGGATTTGTTTCAGAAAATGTAAATTGCGGATCAGTTTTTCTGCTGGTTTGAAAAGATTGTAGTTTTCTTTTTCTTTTTTTGGCTCTTTTGGGGGCCTGCCATCCAGCTCCCATATGAACACACAGGGAGCTTTATTCTTTCTTATAAGTGCCCAGCCTCACCTTGGCTTATTTCTAGCCAGTGTTTCTTAACTTAAGTTCTCCCATCTATCTTTTGCCTCTGGGCTTTTATCTTTCTCTCTTTCTGTATACCTTTCTTTCCTCCTTATTCTGTGTCTGGCTGTGTGCTGGGTGGCAGCCCCCTGATGTCCTCCTCCTCTTCTTGCTCCTTGATCTTGTCAGGTTTCTCCTATTTATTCTCTTTGCCTGCCAGCCCCATCTAGCCTTTCTCCTGCCTTGCTATTGGCCATTCAGCTCTTTATTAGACCAATCGGGTGTTTTAGGCAGGCACAGTAATACAGCTTCACAGAGTTAAACAAATGCAACATAAAAGAATGCAACATATCTTTGCACCATTAAACAAATGTTCCACAGCATAAACAGATGTAACACATCTTAGAATAATATTCCACAACAATTGTCTGTTATTTTCCCCTAGAAGGTGACGTGTATAAAGCACAGACTCCCGCTAAGGAGGCCCAAGAAGCACTGGAAGTCAAGGAGGACCCAGAGGTGAAGGTGGAGATGCCGGTTGACCAGGTGGGTCGCAGGGCTGGGACCATCTTCACTCAGCTGTGTCAGCTCCTACTTCTCCTACCCCCTTCCACAGCCTCACCCTCAAGTTCTCCCTGGCCTCTAGAAGGTTCTATGCTCTACCAGTTAACTACTTACCAATCCTTATGAGTCCCCATGCCAGACATGTCCTTACCTGTTCTTCCTCCAGCACTTCTGTTGAAGGGGCCATTTGGACAACTGTCACCTGTGTGGCAACAGTATGCCACTGTTTGGTTACCATCTCTGCCCTTGTCTAAGCTGTGAAGGCCACAGAGTGTGTGTGTGTGGGGGAATAGTCTGCTTTGCTCAGGATTGACACTCCAGTGCCTATCAGGGCTCCTGGCGTGCATACTACCTTTCAGCTTCATTTGTGAGTCAATGGAATGTGGAATAAAAGCAGTGTGGGGGATCCTCCATATGCTTCCCCACAGATGGAGGTGACTCCATGCACATTGGATACCTGATGTAGTGCCCTAGGTGTGGTATCACTGTTACTGTTTCCTACCCCCTCTACTTCCCGCCCCTCTAAGCTGTGCATTCTCATATCTCCTGCTCCCTTTTACTATAGTGCTAAGAGCAGTGGGCAGTAACCATGCCACTGCCTGCATGTTCTTCTGATTTGAAATCGCCAAATAACTTAGTCCATCACTTTTGACTTCAGCCACACTTAAATTTTGACACACAGCCAGAAAGCAGCCAGGTTTTGTAACCGGAACAGCTTGTAGTCCCGTTGTCTGCTGGACAGTGGTTTCCAGCCTATGGTTCCTGACTCCTTTGAGGACTGAATGACCCTTTCACAGGGGTTGCATATCACATATTCTGCATATCAGATATTTACATCATGATTCATAACAGTAGCAAAATTTCAGTTATGGAGTAGCAACAAAACAAAGTTGGGGGTTGCCAGGCAGTGGTGGCGCATGCCTTTAATCCCAGCACTTGGGAGGCAGAGCCAGGTGGATCTTTGTGAGTTCGAGGCCAGCCTGGTCTACAGAGCGAGATCTAGGACAGGCACCAAAACAGCACAGAGAAACCCTGTCTTGAAAAAACCAAAAAACCAAACAACAACAAAAAAGTTGGGGGTCACCACAGCGTGAGGAACTGTATTAAAGGGTCACAGTATTAAGAGGGTTGAGAACCACTGCCCGCATGGTCTTTGTTCTAGTCTGAAACCTCATCAGCAAGGCTTCCATTGTATGAGCTCTGGTGCTCTGGTTTTCCAAACTCCTGTCAGAATGTCCTATTAAGCTCTGCTTACAGCATTCTAGGGCTCCTCTAGCCTGTGGCTTCTTCCCCCAAAAAATCAGTTGCAGAGGCCTCTGAACCATGTGGTAAGGTTTACCACAGCAACAGCCTGGTTCCTTGGCACTAATTTTCTGTATTAGTTATTTCTCTCACAGTTGTGGCTAAATAGGCAACAGAGACAATTTAACCAAACGGTCTTGGTTGGGAAGCGTAATGATGGACCATAAAGTGGCAGTCACACCTTATCTGCCATCAGGAGATGAGTGCTTTGGCAATCATATTTAAATACCATTATTGACATTTTGTCTCATTTAAAGATGCTGTCTTAGGGTTTCTATTGCTGCAGTGAAACACCATGACCAAAAGCAAGTTGTAGAGGAAAGGGTTTATTTGGCTTACATTTCTGCATTTTAGTCAAAGGAAGACAGGATAGGAATCTAAACAGGGTAGGAACTCACACAGGGGAGGAGCTCATGCAGAGGCCATGGAGGGGTGCTGCTTACTGGCTTGTGAACCATGGCTTGCTCAGCCTGCTTTCTTATAGAACCCAGGACCACCAGCCTGGGGATGGCCCCACCCACAATGGGCTGGACTCTCAGTCATCAATCACTCATTAAGAAAATACCTTACTGCTGGATCTTATGGAGGCATTTTCTCAATTGAGGTTCCCTCCTTTCAGATAACTTGTGTCAAGTTGACACAAAACTACCTAGCACAGATGTCAAGTGATGGATAATGGCGTCTTCCATGGATGCAGTTGTATTTGTTCGTGTAAATATGTTTAAGGGTAGACAGGTTTCTGCAGTTGCAGGCTCTGGTTAGCCCAGGACATGGCCCTTTGAGTCCTTTTTTGGAGAAGTGGTTTTGAATTTAATCTGCACATAGCAAGTTCTATTTCAAAAGACAGGGATCTGTACCATTCCCAGATGAGGAACTCCCCCAGTGAGGCCTGGGAAGGATGGACTGACGGAAAGCATGAAGGACTGAACCTGATATCTTGATATGTGCACACCTGAGCCCAGGCCATTTGTGAGGAGTGGAGGCATGTTAGCTCCTATTTCCGGAGGTTGAAAGTCCAGCACTGAGAGACATTAGTGAGAGACTTCCTGCTTTGTCATGATGGAAGGTGAGGGTAAGAGGGAGAAGACGGTGAAACTGGTCCAACACAATAGCAGCTCGTGCAGGGACACTCATCACCTCCCAGTACTCTTGTGAGGGTGACTGTCCATCAGAGAGGTGGTGGGGGATGGGCACTGATGTCCCTGGAGTTCAAAGAGTCATGGCAAAAAGTGAGTCTTTGCTTAGACACCAACACAACACATCCTGACTGCACCTCCTGCGCTTATCACATCCACCCCCCTGCCCCGCCACCCCCAGACGGTCAAGAACAGGTCACTGACCAAGGAAGGCTGAGATGATGGGTCTCATCAGGAGGTTGGCACAGGCTCATGTTCTCTGGGGATTGCCTAATTAGATGACATGTAAAAATGGAGCCTTAGGGCTTTGGGGTTTCTAGGTGTGTAGAGCGGGCTCAGAGGAAGCTAAGAAAGGCCCTGTGGGTATATGCTTTAACGAACAGTTAAAACACAGAGTGTTTTAACACTCTGCGGAGGCCTGCATGATGAGACGGAAGTTCTAGAGGCAGCAGGTTCAGCTCATCAGGTGTGATGAATATTCCTGTTCTCTCATTACCCCTTCCGCCCTCCTTAGCACACTGACTTTAGTCTCAGGCTTGCTGGTTCAGCAGGTTGCCTCAGTTCTGTGGGGTGTACTGAGGCAAGACTGCTGTTGAGGAAAACAGAGGCTACCTCATTTCCGTAGTGAGATGTTTTCTGAGGGACCCTTAAAAGACCTGTATCAAGTCCTCCTCATAGCCAGGCAGAGGCACCCGAGCCCCGATGGTCAGTTAGGGTTCACTCCTGGCTCCCCTGAAAGTTATGACTGACACTTGAAAAATAATTGTAGTTTAGCTTTTAAACAAAGAACAAGGTTAGAAAGTGGCTCTGAGATAGGAAGCCATCACGTCAGTTCATGAGCGTTTATCTGCACTCAGCACACTTTTCCATATCAGAGAAGGTGTCTGTCCTCTTGCAGAGTCTTCCCCAGGTTTTAAAGAGGGGCACAGACCCCTAAGAGCCTCCCAGGAACCTGGTGCTCCAGATCCATAAGGTGCCTTATTCTCCACCCCCATATCCACTTCTGCCCTTGGGGTCCCACCTCTCTGAAGTGTCAAACCCGCCTGTTACAGATGAGCATGGACCCTGCTTTGGCCTCACTCCAGGGGCAACAGCTACCTCTCCAGCAGGTGCACAGCTGGCTTTTCCTGGCAGTGGCTCCTCTTGCCTTCTTTTCTTTTCCCCATCACTTCATCTGGCTTCTGCTGACGGCTACTACTCATGGACTCACTCCCACACTCCGTATGCTTAGCAGCTCTCCACACGGTGACCTTCATCTCTGATATCTCCAGCACCTCTTTTCCCTCACAATACTCTTTTTCTAGCAAGCATCTTGCCAAACCAGCGCCCCATTCTCCTTTTGTCTGTGGTAACTTCTTTCTAGGGTTCAGTGAAGGGTCCAGGTTGAGGCTCCTTTTCTCATTCTGTATCTACCTTGCCCCCGACATGATATGAAAAATCCGAGTCCCACATCTTGGGAGTCAGGCCGTCCTCTCACAGATTACTGCTGGCCTTGTGTCTGCCGTCAGCTGTTCTAAGGCTGAGACCATAACAGAGTCTCTATTCCCATGTCCCCAGACATTGGCCCCTGCCTGTCTTGGGGTATGTGAGATGCCCCCATTCAGCCAGAGCTAAGAGGCGTTCCCAAGACTAACCTTCCAACTGTTCTGTATCCAGATCGTGCCAGTGTTTCCCGATTGCGTGCCTCTCGCTGAGGCCACCACTTCACTGTGGCAGCACCTCACAGCCTCATCTCTGCATCCCTCCTGCTCTCTGCTCTGAGAGTGCTGTCTGAGTGCGGTGCTTCACCTGTAGCAAGTTCTGCAGTGCCTTCCTGGCTGCTGGCCCTTTTTGATGATTAGACATCCCCGGAGGCAGTCTTTCACTGGGCTGCCATCTATGTTCAACACCACTTTGTTTCCTCTCTGTCCTGTGTCTCTCTGTCACAGGCCTCACAGTTACATCTCTGTATTCAAGCCCTGACAGTTTAATGAGTGTTCATCATCTCCAGATGACTCCAGCTTCTTGAGGATGCATTTGTTTGTGCTCAAGATCTCTGGCATCTCTGACAGAGTGTGATTCAAAGTGGCAGGTGTTTTCTCCGTGTTTATTGGATCAATGGGTGACATAGTAATGGTCGTCACATCAGCTACTTTTGGAAATGTTTTGAAAAGCTTTTCTTTTTTTTTTAAATGTAGTTTGAATAGTCCTACACATAGCATTAGGATTACTTTCCCATGAGATTGTAGGAATGTAACATGCACACCACCATAAGGAGTTCAGGGCATTGGATACAAACCCACATGTCTGTACAGCCATGCAGATCTGCTCTAGCATGGTCCAGGCCAGCTGGCAGCAGCTGCTGGGTCCTCAGAACTCTTTTCTCTGGGTAGATCTTTACCTATTGTTAGTTCTTTACCATTTTAGCTCAGGTGTGCTGTGTGCCCTGCCTTCCCCTGCCGGTGGGGGTGGCCTTGACTCAGCATCCAGGTTGCTATTTTTCCTTTGGGATCGGGACAGTGGAGGGAGGGGACCTTCCCCCAGTGGGTGTCCTGTGTGAGCAGCGTTCTGGCTAGCCTCTGAGGACATGTGGTGCACGCATGTGGCTTACTACAGCCCCAACAGCCTGTCTCAGCAGATGCAGCATTAAAATGCAAGTGGCCCAGTGACAGAATTGCTCTGCTCTCTCTAAGTGGGGAGAAGGTCTCACTCCCTCTTTCTGACACAGCAGGCCCTGAGGCCTGGGATGGACAAGAAAGCCAAGTGAGCGTACTCTGCTCTGAGGGGCTGAGAACAGCTAGGTTGCAGAGCATTCTTACAGAATGGGCCATAGTTCTTTGGCTGGGGTCACCACGGGTACACCAAGAATTAAGAAGGAACTACTGTTTGCTAACCAGAGGCACCTGGCATGGCCATGGCATTTTAAATTAATCGATGAATTACAAATACTTATTGATATATTTGTGTTCATGTGGGAGGGTGTGTGCTTGTCATGAGTGCAGAGGTCAGAGGATACCCTGGGTATTGTCATCTTTCACATTGTTTGTATTTCTTCTGTACCCCAGGCTAGTTGACTCAGGAACTTCTAGGGGAGTTTCCTACCTCTCTATCTCACAGTAGGAGTACAGATATGCACAGCAGTGTCCAGATCTCAACTCAGGTCTCCTGACTTGGGCGGCAAGTGCTTTTACCCACTGAGACATCTCCTGGACCCTTAGTTATTTGTTTTTCAGACAGGGACTTGGTAGGCTAGCCTTAACTCTCTTGTAGCCCAGGAGAGCCTCACACTCAGGATCCTCCTGCCTCGACCTCTTACGTTAACACCTCTGGAATTACAGATGTGTTACCGACCAGGTCCAGCTCCTAGCATTTTTTTTTGTTTCCATGGAAAGAATTTATATTGACTCTCTCAAGATCTCTCTGTTTTCTTGATGGAACTAACTGTAAAAACAGGGCCGACAATTCTGTATTTGGAAAAACTTCATTTCCCCCTGCCAGCTCTGTCTGTAGAACTGGTCTAGAATCGCACCCTGGTTCACACGCTCGCTGCTTTTCCAGAGGAGATTGGCACTGACCATGGCTCAACTTGACAATAATTTCCTCCCCCCAGGTACCAGCTGAAATTGTTAAAGAAATTGATGAGATAGGCAACAACAACCTGGAACTGGAAAGTGGTGTGGTGAGTGAATTTTATTTTTACTTGTGATGGTAGGGGCTCAAGCCACCGTCCTGTGATCGGCTGGGTCGAACTCATGGTTGACGGTAAAAGATCCGGGACCACAGGCTGGTCCCAGATCCCAGATTTGTAGCAGAGTGGAAGCACAGTGTGTTTTGGGACGCCGCGTGGGTAATTCTAATCGCCCTTGCACCTGAATTAATCGTTCTTCACTGCACTTCCGTAACAATTGTGTCAGCTTTTAGCATACAGGTGGGTCGGGGTGGTGAAGCGCAGCAGCCTCTGGGGTCGGGGGGGGGGCAGCTCCCTGTAATGAGACAGCCACCCCATACCCTCCAAGGGGTGCTGTGTCCATGGCCCCTTGCTGGGAGGTCAGGCTTTCTGTAGCTGCCCGTAGATGGCGGCTCAGGTTGTGCAGCACACGGGGCTGTAGCTTTCCGCTTGTTTTTCCTGTCCAGGTGTTTTGGAAGCGTCGTCTGGGGAGGCAGTGTGTTCCGGGGTCTCTTGATTCCTGGTGGTGACTAGTCTCCTTAAGATGCGTGCGCTGGGGAAACAAAATATGCTTTACACATACGATCATGACCATGCCGCTAAGAAATGGATGTCTCCGTTTGTTTTCAATATTACTCTGTCTCCAGGTGTTTTTCAAAGTAGATGGTCTCAGACATTTGGCCAGGTTGAGGGAGAGTGAGATCTTGCCCAAGTCTGACCGTCCCGACATGGTGCCCTCCACAGCTGCAAATAAACACAGGCTCCAGGGATGATGAGGGGGTGCTGGAGATGCCACAGGGTCCCTGGCTCCTTACCCAGCTTGGCAAGTGGCCTTTGAAGGAAGGTGAAGGATCCACAGGACATTTGTTAGGCTTTATAAACACACCAGAGGAGCTTGGGAGTCTGGGAGAATGGCACCTTCACAGAGTCCATCCTTCCTCTGCATAGATCCCTGAAGGGCTGGGGTTCGGGGGTTTAGTGAGAGAGGTGACTGTGTGTGTCCAGTAGAACAGGGGGTGCTTTCAAATGAAGAACGAAGGTGGATGTCTCGGGTGTCGAAGAGTAAGGCTGTCCTGGGATGGGAATAATAATGGAGAGTGCCCTGTAGATGTAACCAACCGTCTTATTAAATAAGAAACACAGAACCAATGTAAAAGAGAAAGCCGAGAGGTCAGAGCTCAGAGCTAAAATCTTACCCTTCCTCCTGCGAGCTCCTAGCTTCCTGAAAAGAGCTATTTCCTGTGTGTAAGTCTTTTCATAGTTTTTGTTCTGCCTTCTCATTGGTTGTAAACCCAAACACATGACTGCCTCGTCACTGTCTGTATGTACAGCCCCTCAGGTCTTAAAGGCGTATGTCTCCAATGCTGGCTGTATCCCTGAACACACAGAGATCTACCTAGCTCTTCTACCAAGTGCTGGGATTAAAGGCGTGCGCTACCACCGCCACACTCTTGCTATGGCTCTAATAGCTCTGACCCCCAGGCAACTTTATTTATTAACATACAATCAAAATCACATTTCAGTACAATTAGAATACCACCACAGTGCCCCAGAGCACCGAAGCTTTGTGGGAAAGCACTACTTGTCCCCACAGGGATCGTATGGAGGCAGGAGATGGTGCTGTCGGGCTCATGGCAGGGCTGCGCACACGTTTTGGAAGCTCTCTGCACAGGTTCTTTGCACCAAGTTCACCCTGTGATGCTGACTCACTGTGGAAATCTGTGCAGGCCCCTAGGAGGGGTCTCATGTATCAGTGACATGGTCCTAGCCTATGGCAGATTTAATTTTATAGAGTGATTCAAAACATCCCCTTTCATGTGAGCAACATAGTTGGAATGTCTGCAGACTCAAGTGCTCATCTTTAGAGAGCTGGGCCAAGACCTAAGCTTTGGGGTGGAAGGTGGCAGAGAGCAGTCACTTCTCCTGTTGCCGAGTACTTGGAAGGTGATGTGGGGCGGGGCACGGCAGGAGAGAACATGCTGGGACACCCTGAGTACTTCTGAGTACCCTGTGTGAGCCACACGCTGGTGCTGACCCATCTCAAGCTCACATCGACTCTTCAAGGTAACACACATACGCGCGCGCGCGCGCGCACACACACACACACACACACACACACACACACACACACACACACTTATATTCAGTTAAAAAGCGCATATATATGATGAGAAAAAGGGAAACTGCTGGATGGAAAACACAACTTGTCAACACTTTGGTCTGAAATCAGTGGATGGGACTCTGGATTTCAACCCAGATTTGAATCACACTGAAGTCTGAGTATTTACTCCCCGAAGTGAGCCAAACCAGTTGCTGGTTTTTCTTCTCAGAATAGATATTTGCTGCCAGGTTTCACTGTCCGTTTCTCATAGACCGATCAACTGCCTGGTGCTATGTCTGAGAGCATTCAGTTCTTCCAAGTCTGCACCCCCCCTCTCTGTTTCCTAGCACACCCTTCACAAGTGTGTCCTCTGTGCTCTTTGCATATTGGTATGAAACACTCCACAAACTATCTTTTTTTTAAAACTTTCTTTTTATTTAATCTTTTTGTCTTTCACATCATGCACCTCAATCTCATTCATTTCCTGTCCCTGTGAATCTGCCCTCTGCCCCTGCAGCCCCCCCTGCCCAAATAAAATTTAAGTGAAAAAAGAAAAGAGAAGAAACGGGGAAAATCTCATCATGGAAGCTGTAGTGTGATATAGTAAGTCACACAGTAAACTCTTTTATCCACAGATCTTTACTTGAAAGTGTTAATTGCAAAGAGTCATTGTTCCAGACTATCTTGTATTCAGTTAAAAAGCATCTATAGATTTGCTTTGAGTTACCTATGACCAAGTTATTCAAATTTAAATAAATATATAATCCAAGAATAAAATGCTAGTTACCTTTGAAGCTGCAAGAGATGTTTTTAGTAGGAACAATATCTTAAAATATATTTCTGATATTTGATCACAGAATTTCTGTTGTCATTTTTTTGGTGTTAAATATGTAAACTTTGCTATTTTGGTAGTTTTTAAGCATCAAATTCAGCAGCATAACTTACATTCACGATGCTAGACACAATCCATTCCTATGACAGTTTCATCTATCACACCGTCTGTCCTGGAAGCTGACTCCCCAGCTCTGAGGGTCAGCACTGAGCCTTGACACAGCCTTAGCCTGAAAGAGCTTTTCAGATGCACTTGTTAGGATGAGACCCTCCTGAGGCCTCTGCCCAGCAGTTGTGGGCAAGTGTGTTCATCTTGTCATTATATGTGTAAAACAAAAATAAAAAAGAGGGGGCTGGAGAGATGGCTCAGAGGTTAAGAGCACTGGCTGTTCTTCCAGAGGTCCTGAGTTCAATTCCCAGCAACCACATGGTGGCTCACAACCATCTGTAATGAGATCTGGTGCCCTCTTCTGGCCTGCAGTCATACGTACTGTATACATAATAAATGAATAAATAAATAAATACATAAATAAATATCTTTAAAAAAAAATAGAGCCGTGCTTCCATGTGAGAGTTCTTCCTCCTCAGGACCCTGGAATAGGCTAAATGTGCAGTTACAGCAGTCCTGACAACATCCATACTCAATACTGTCTCCATCATCAAGGTGGGATGTCACCAACATTAGCAAATGTGAAAACATGTCCTTCTGTGACATGGAGAATGAAATGTGTACTTGTCCTTTTACCTATTGTAAATAGTCTTCATTGAACATGACTTTAATTACACTAGGTGAGTACTATTGGACCCCAGGGTAGACTGGAATATTCTCCAGCTCTTAAAAAAAAATCTCATGATTTATTTATTTATTTTTTTTTACTTATTTGTTATGTGGGTGCCATGGTGTACATGTGGAGGTCTGAGGACAACTGGTATGAGTCAGTTCTCTCCTTCCACCATGTAGACACTGGGAATGGAACTCAGGTCATGAGTTTGCTGGAAGGTACCTCTGCCTGCTGAATCATCTCACTGGCCCTGTTCTCCAGCTCCCATGGCTTAATCTGTTTAGTTCCACTGATTGTAAATGATTTATGGAGAAGCAACACTTTATAAACTCCCTGATAATTTTGTAAAACCAAATGTAAAGATTTTGGAAACATTCATTTCCTTTGTAGACTATAGAAGAAAGTCTGAATGGCAGGCTGAGTTGATGTGTGCACAGATCACATGAGACTGTGAAGATGACCTGAATTTCCTACCACACTCTAATGAGGCCTCAGGCCAGCTCTGTAGGGTGCTGTAGAGGTGCCTTCTGCTTGGAAATGCCAAACCCCATGGGACTACCAAGGGTTTCCTGACATTGGGCTGCTAATCTTTTAATTTAAAAAATCTCCCTATGTTGGAGATCCTATATAAAAACTCCAGGGGCTGGAGGGATAGTTCAGAGTAAAGAGCCTGCTGTGAAAACATGAGGGCCTGAATTCAGATCTTCACCACTCACATGGACATTGAAATGGAGCTGTGCACCTGTGTCCTCAGCCAGTGTGGTACATGTGTGGGTCGAGGTATGGAGGTGGGCAGATCCCTGCAGCTCACTGGCCAGTCAGCCTAGCCAAATAGATGAGCCCCAGGTTTAGTGCCTTAGAAAATAAGGTTGAGAGAAATATAGGGAAAATATCTTACATTGACCCAATGGCCTTTGGTATCCACATGTATGAGCGTATAGGCATACATTCCTGCATGTACCCACACAAGCACATGCACACACTCCACTAAACCACACACACACACACACACACACACACACACACACACACACACACAACTTTAAATTTTAGGTAATGAAATTTCTCTTCCCAAGGGCAAACTTTATAATTTCTTGCTCAGGTTGTGCTGTACAGCAGTCTGTCCTGTCCCCTTCATGTCAGTCCAGCCTTCATACCCTCCACGGCTCCCTGCTGATTCTGCCACCTTTCTTCAGCTCTCTAGACCCCAGCGTGTCTTCCCCATGGCTCTCCAGCCACTATTCTTCTCCTGCCATTCAGTCACTCTAGCCCTGACTCGAGTTATTTGTGCACCTGAGCCAGGGGCTCTAGTCGACCTAAAGCTTTCAAAGGAGAAGCCTGGGCTTCACTCATGTGCTTGTCATCTCTAGCAATCTTCCCATTCCTGGGCACACAGATGTAGCATGAATCTTAAAAGTTCTTATTAACAAAATCAAACCCGAGGCCAGTTATTGGGGTCAATGCTGGTAGATCAGAGAGACAGAACAAGCCATAACTATCTCACCTCGCCGGATCCTCAGCTGGTCTTGTCTCCTCAGACTGGAGGCCTCTGAGTCCTCATCTGGAATGGGTCTCAGCTGAATTACTGCTCAAAAGCCTGCATGCTTAACCAGGCCAAATGCTTAACCAGCCAAAGGCCTCTAGTTTCTGGTCCTCACGCCTTATATATATCTTTCTACTTTGTACCACCACTCCCTAGGATTAAAGGCTGGCTTTCTGGGATTAAAGGCATGTCACCATGCTTGGCTGTTTCCAATGTGGCCTTGAACTCACAGAGATCCAGAGGGATTTCTATCTCTGGAATGCTAGGATTAAAGGTGTGAGTGCCACCATTTTCTAGCC